TTTCATCCACAAGTGTTTTTTTTTTTTCAATTTTTATTTTTAATTCAATTCAATTCTCACCCATGGATAGGGGAATTATTTCAAATAAAAGCTTTAGATATCATCCGGGGGTTACGATATGTCAAAATAAATCCTGCGTATGCACGTATTGTATTTTTTGCCCGACAGTTGATGCGTTCGGGAATCGATATTTGATGTATCAGGTTTTTGCGCGTACTTTTTTTCTTCATTGTCGATTACGCGTGTAAAGCGAGTTTTGTTGGTCAATAATACGAAAGCCATCCATCAAATATAAGTCTGATAGTTAAAATATTTTTAGACTTTATAAAGCAGGTTTTGTCACCGCAAATAATGTATTTTTATTATGTTATTAAAAGCTAACGACTCAAGATTTTCTTATCTTTGTTACTGTTTCTTATAGCCTTGTATCGAGGCGAAGCGCTCATTAATTGACTACCTTGATTTCTCAATGTAAATCCATTAGCCACCAGATTACTGAAGAAACGCAACAAATCAGAAGAACCCTCGATTGCACTTTGAGGTAATAAAACATTTATCGCACCCCAACACTGTACCAATACTTTTTCTCTGATGGAACTCTGATTCACTTTGGCTCATCAAGTTAGAAAATCAAAATTTCCAATGATTCACAGCTTCTGGGTACAACAATTGAAAAAGGAAATGTTCATCCACCCCAGGACGCCTCGAAATTCACCCAAAACACGAAAGAAAGCGTCCGATTGCGTTTTCTCCTTCTGCGTGAAATAAATTTCCCCTTCAAGCCAAACGAATGCGTGAAACGTAAGGTTCCTCGAGCCCTAAGCGGTACAAGAAGCAAAGAAACAGACGCTAAATTCCCAGGTGATTGAAAAATCGCGACGTACACTTCCTGGAAATTCCCCTGGCCAACCTTCCCGCAAACACGCACACACGCCAAGGTGAGAAAAGCTGCCAACGATAAATCAAACGCCGGGAGGTGGGGCAATTAAGTACCGCCAGCCGGATTTCCAAGCTACCACGCACGCCGGACAGAGAGAATGCCAGAAGAAGCGAGCGCACAAGAAGGTCACTCCCTCACCCACGCGAACGGAGTCGGCAAATTTAATCACCCGCTCGTAGGATGAGGCAGCCGCTGCTTGCATAATGACTCGCCCTTCGGAGTCGCGCTGTCGCCTTCGTAGAGGCGTCCTGGAGCGCGAGAAAAGAATCTCGGGAGTGTTGACTTCATCGTGCATCCGCGTCACGTTTCCCTGGAAGATTTCCAAGCGATATGGCATTGATTTCTTTTGCCGCCACTCATTGCCTGAAATCATCCCGTTCGAGAAGCCGAAGGGAGCAAACGTCGGAATTAACAAGTACTCTGTGATATCAAATTACGCTCGTCCCCAGGTCCTTTGAGGAGTGTAGCTGCTGTTACGGAGTCGACTCGCAAATCTAGACCACAGTGGGGCGCCTCAGCTGAAACGAATACTCTCGACCTCGTTTGCGGTCGCATCTTCTCTTTCGCTCGACACCCTTACCGGACCAATCGATGAGCTAGCTCCACTGGCGTATGTTGGTAATACAACACACGGATCGCTCCCCTTGCCGCTTCTGGTGGGCACGTATAGGATATCATCGACAAGAAGTGTACCTATATCGCCACGTAAGTACCGTACACTATCAAGGTCGGATATTCATCATTTTCGATTCGAGATATCATTTACTTGACAACTCGTGGACAATGGAGCCTGAGAGATAAACATCCAGTAGATGCAGCCCCTTCCAATATGGAGTTTGGGCGCAGCGAGCTTTGAATCTCCCATCCGTGGTATAGCAACCAGTTTGAGTACGTATTGTCCGCTCGATGACATACAGCTCACCTCGTCGCGAATAGTCGAGCACACGTGACTCTTCTGCAGGGTCGTATCGCGTATTTGAGGAGCACGAGCGAGTGGCGTGTATCAGGTAGCAAGTACTCGACTGCGTGTCTCGGTGAGTATGCAAATTTTGTCGTGCAAGGATCAAGGGACATGGGGCAAACGTGCTTCGGCCTTTCAAGGCAGGATGTGTGGGTGGAAGCCCGGAAGAGCGAGTGGCTAACGAACGGGATTATGCGGGATACTTCCCACTGGCTTTTCCGGTCCTACATTGAAACTCGGCTTGCGCAGATGACTGGCTTTTAATTAACTCTCAAAAATGCCTCCTCCTCCCTCTTGGCTTTCGAGGAGGCCAAAGTTGCTCGTGCACGTGTGCTTTGTGCGTCAACGGAGCTTGTTACGTTAGTGGCGGGGACAATGAAAATGACGGAAAAATAATCGATGTCAAAACCGGTTGCTGCAAGGTTCCAATAGAGGGGGATTAAATATTTCTGCCGGGCATGATTTTTTCATCCACGCAGTAGTACAGTTCCGATTTAGTCAGCCGTAGCGCTCGTCCCAACAATTAACTGTCTGATTATTTAGAGGGAAGGCAGGTCGATGTCCTTTCAATTATCTTTATTTGGCTCTTCTTCTTTTTGCTTACAAACTAGCTGAGGGTCAATTTAATTATTTTAAAAAACCAACCACTATTCACTCTCTTTTTTTGCCAAGTATCTCTTGAAAAAAGGACACAGCAGTCCTCGACAAACGCAGATAAAGCCCTTGGGTTAAAAACGTAAGCACGCAGGTGCCATCGGTCAATATTGTGTTGCACGATACCAGTCCATACCCACATGTGTCCCTGGCCCGCGTTATGAATCTCCCGTATTAATACCTGCCTCGTTTGGGTGCGCCTATACACACGCAACTCGCAACGATTTCTCCAACCGTCACGCGGCGATGGTTGTGAAATATCGCGCTCACGCTAGCCCTTGAATCGATTTTAATTCCACCGCGTTCCCTCGACAAACGCCATCCAATGATTCAAGAATGACGGAGCTCTCATTGACCCGCTTCGTCGAAACGACATGGGCCAACGTGATCCCTGCGCACGTGGCACCTTGAAAATCCAGCGCTCGCTGGGATGGTTGGATTTCCAAAGCACCGCCAATCGAGATGGAAAAGTTCAATTAAACGCCGAGCAAAAGAAAGAGGAGGAAGAACCGCTGGCGATCGATCAAAGCGTGGCTGGCTTTTTTAATCTCGCTTCCTCCAGATTAATCCTTGATCACCCTTTCCCCCGAGGCAGCTCCAATCGCAGATTCAAATTCGCAGGGGTAATTGGCTACTCGGTTTATTCATCAACGACAAGACTGGACCAACAATGGCCCTGCGTTGCCCGAACTTTACTGAAACATGGCCCACCTACAACCCCGAGAGGGACGCGCAGTGCAGGGTCTGCGAGTCGTAAATTTTTGCACGTGCATCGAGACAGACAGAGATATCGTTCATTAATTATTCGCCAATAAACTCCCCGTCGGATATTTCATTCCACGACACTTTATTCCCAGCATTATTGAGCACACAGAGTGCGTACACGAGTATTTGTTGAGGAATGCCCACACGAAACGCTTCCACTCGTTAAATATACGTACCGCACGAATGTATGTATGTGTTATTCATGCGCGCGTTAGCTTGGCCTGCTTCCTCTTTCTCCGTTTTGACGTGTGCCGTTAACTCGAGCACGCGGAATGTGCCGAAATGGTAATTATTAAGAGACCACTCCCGAGTTCACGGCGTATGTACATACACCCACGCTGGACTAAATTTTAATTACTGTTTGGAACTGCCGCGTGAGTTGCTCGTGTGTTTGGCGCGTGCGGCTCGTCTTCATAAAACTGTCCCAGCCCTTGTGTTTGCTTGGCAAATAATTTTGTCGTGATTACGGGACAAACATCGCGTTGTCATATCAGTTGTTACGACGTTTTTTTCAAGACTCTTGTTCTCGACTCTGCGAAGGTGAAATCTCGAATGTCTTTGGCGATCAAATCACCGTGCGACGTGATTTATGCAAATGTAGGGAGCACAAAATTGTTTCGCAGCACGTGAAAGCACTGAGCTTCAGATTACACTGTAAAGCGTAAGATATGAATCACCGACGCGTACCTACTTCTTGGAACGTGGATGAAAAATATATTAAATTAAACGAGTTCCGCCAAAGGACCGTCTACTTTTCCCTTTTTCAGATGAAAGTCGAGGAGAGCTGTTTTTTTTGTTTCTTTTAAAAAAATAAAATAACTAAATTACTTTACGTCACATTGGAGTAGTTTTTACTCGCGCAAACATTCGTTTCGCGCAAATGCATAAATTGCACAAAATAAAAAAAAAATAAAAAATGTTCAATCGACCGTGAGAGACTGCAAAAGCTCAAAAATACGCATAAACGTACATACGTTGGCAGACGGACTTCACGCGGCTACTCACGTGCTGTAACAGTCACGCTCCTCCGAAGTAAATTCAATTCCGAGGGCTAATTTGCGGCCACGCGCGCCAGCCCTGATGTAAATATTGCAGGCTGTAGTTGCCCGATGCAGGAATATACGTACCTGCCTACCTTTTGATACCGTATATATGCTCGACCGCGTGTCCGAGTCTGCTCGTCTCACCGCCGCAAATGTTGACCTACTTTTTCGGTACCACGAACCTGGTTTTTAATTAACCCTTGGCGCATCGGTCATATTTTCATCCACATGGAAAATTTTTTTCGTTTAAAAGTATCGATTTTCATAAGGCGCAGTGGGAATTAATTGAATTATTCTACTGGTTTTAAAATTTTTTTATTTAATAAAAGTTAACAAAAAAAATAAAATGGGTTATTGTCGTGAAATACCACACACCTGAGGAGTTCCAATCACAGAAATGTACTACTATCAGAGTGCATGATACACGTGTAAAATACCCATCCATAATGTTCCTGCATGACAGTATGTATAATCTTAAGCGCATGTAGCCACACCTGAGCTCAGCATGTCAGCTTTGCAATGTGCAATGTGCAAAAAAAAAAAAAATAATAAAAAAAAAACAGAGAAGCAAAACAAACGAAAAAAAATATATTCAAGTCGAGTGATGGATGGGTCGTGCGTGTGTGTTGTCGTGCAGAGATGTCGGTGTTCTTCTTCCGGCTGCACAACCTGCGCCGGCAGGCCGAAGAGGCGCGCAAGAAGCGCGATCGTCGTAGCGGCCAGTCGGTCCAGCGCGGCCAGAGCTGCGGGGACGAGCCCCAACCAACCGCGGGCTCGATGCAAAGCTGCGACCGCGTGCACCGGGGCCCGAGCAAGCTCTTCGAGCGGGCGCCCTTGCAGCCCAGCGACTCGCTCGACGAGATTGCCCTACAGATACCAAGGTAATCGTCCTCATCATCCTTATCATTTTTTTTTTTTTTTTTCTATTTTTTTTATCGTTGTCAATTTTTTCTTTTGTTTTTTTTTTTATATTTTGTCAATTCATGGGTATTACATATTGGCTATTTTGGGCATTCCCAAATAGCTTTTTTCATTTTTTAGTTGAATTATTTATATCTCTTTGTACTCGTCGCAGTTACATCAGTGGGAACTACCCTTCACATTGATTTTTGTTGAATTTTGGCTTTTGGTTCGTATAAAGCTCGAAATTGAATTTTTCATGAGGATTATCTCTCACGTCATGCAAAATGGTCAAAAGGAAGTCAATTTAACAATTGTGTAAGCGGTGCTATGAATACGCATCATATTAATTCTCATCTCCTGTAATTTTTAATAAAAAAGCTACTTTTTAGTACTTTTGCAAAAAAACCTCGTAAAATTAATGGGTTTATCCAAGCACTTTACCTTGCAAGTGGTCGAGCAAATTGGAGCAGCTACTTTCCTTGGACCATTGCACCTGTTAGCTTACGTCATAATATCCGTCTAATGAGCTCATCTGGGAGGAACAAACTTCTTGCACTTATACAAAAATATGAATAGAAATACAAATGACTTTTTTCTTTACGGTAGAAAATATCAAAGAAAAATCAAACATACTAAACTTACATTTTATAAAGTGAGCTTACTGATTATGAGAAAAAAAAAACTTTGTTGTAATTGATCAAGACAAGTTTCTATCTAACGAAAGTAAGAATACTGTTTTAATTGAGCAATTTTCCCTCTTAGCGTCTGCCATTACTCGTATATCTCTTTAAAGAAAGTCTTTAAAGAAAAAGCTAATGCCCTCATTTAGGTTGAAGTGCGTCCAGTTAATTGTTTATTAAAAATCTCAAGCCCTACTGTTACTAAGCTCTAATTTTGTAGTGCCAGTGAACCTCAGTTGCTCGAGCTGCAGCAATCATCTATGACTACCTATGCCCATATGCTTGTTTGACTTAACTAATACCTACCGTTATTTTTTAATTTTCCTTTCAACGGATTGCTGTTGATTGTAGACCAAAAAAAAAAAAAAAAAAGAAAAATAATCAGCTAACCAACACTCTTCTTTGAGTATCTCATATGGCTGGATTTAGCTGGCCACTGATATTTTTTTAGGTCACCGTCAGATAGATTTTTTTAGAGTTAAATTAAAACTATTTCGTCACCACTACATATTCTATTGAAGGACAGTCGAATGCAGCTCACCGCACTCCCATCTCTGCAATGGTTTTCATTTTATTTTATTTTATTTTTTAAATAGTACGAGGAGGGATGGTATTGGTAGTTCACTCAATATTGCAGTGGCTGTACCCATAGCCATTTTTGAACTTGCCGTTTGCATTTTACGATGGATTATCTTTAAATATCTCATTTGTGATGATTTATTACAACTTATTTATTGATACACTTGGTTAAGGCAGACAATAACATTTACAGTGAAAGTATCTAAAAACACCACCTATTATAAAACGGAGTTGGTAAATTAACCAATTTCGAAGACGTATTGAAACACCCGTAAATTTCTGTTTGCGTATTGAAAAACAAGCCACATCATCTAATTTTGTACATGATCAAGTTGTTTGATCAACATCAACGGAATGACAATTAAAGTGCGTGATAGCTGTTTCACGTGAGTATTACGCTACTTTCGTATTGTGGGCGCGCACCCCAGCGTGGACTAAATTATACACCCTGGCCATACTTGCACAGGGCAAATGTAATCGTCAACCGAGCCACCCCCTCTCGGAGCACTTGCGCTCCTCGCCGTTCCAGCGACGCGATCAATTACAGTTTGGAAGAAAATGTCATCACGGTTCCTTGCGACATTAGAAGTTTCATCCGTCATTCGTGGTGTGGGGGGTTAACGATGTTCAAAAGAAGATACCCGCTAATTAGTCCCAGGGACATAAACAGGTGGATGTCCGGCCGCTACGAATGAAAATACCTGATTAGCCGAGCTTAAATACAGCCTCTCCTTGTGTTTGTCATTTTACTCGCCCCCTCGTATTTGCACTCTCCCTCTCTTGTCCCCCCGTTTTTCCCATTGCTCTGTTTGTATTTGTTACTCCAAAGAGTCGGGGAAAACGTTTGCTCGATCAATAAGACCCAATGGTCCCCTTGAATTTACTGTTGGATGGCTCCCGTACGAAGATGGGTTTTAAATGAATTAAAGAAAATTTTGACGCAAAGTTTTGGACAACAACAAAACTAGCTCTAATTTAGTTTGAAATCTTGCTCTATGGGCTTCGGCTTTTGGAGTTGGCTTGTAAAACTTTAAGTGCTCGCTGTTTAATGTGGGATTTATGTTTATCTTGGAATCAAGAACGAGAAGTGAAGGACGTACTTTTGTGTGTACGCAGCTGAGAAAAATATTTCTGTCCACGTGTACCAACGAGAGAGTTTACGGCATAAAAGTTTTTAGCTTTGCTCGACAGTTTACAGCTGTTTGCAAGTTGGTTTCCCTTTTTTTTTTCGGGGGGTCGCTCGATGATCTTAATAATTCAGATTAGGCTGACGCAGGTAGTAGGACGGTGGTTTTTCGAATTAAACGTATCCACTTGCACGTGAGATTTGGTGCATGGATAGGGTACTTTTTTATTTTCCGTGCGTACTGGTGATTGCTGATTAGAAGAGGATGTATGTTTATATCTGGTTCCAAAAAAAATTATTTAATACGTATTGTATGCATTACAATGAATTTTCTTGCACGTCATTTCAGTTCAAGTAAAAAAAATTTGGACAGCCTTTGAAATTTTCAAAATGAACGATTTTTAACTTTTAGAAAAATGAACTTTATCCTTATTTTGTTGTTTTTTCTATCGTAAACTGTGTAAAATAATATGGACAAAAACACGTTTATATGAAAAATTAAACGTGATACAAGCTGATGATTAATTTTTGCACAACATGCCCACAGTAAGTTTAAAGCTGGATTTTTTGGGTAAAAATAATACTTCAATTGAATAAACTATTGGACTTTTAGGTCACGTTTCGTTTGAGAAACGTCACTTAGGTACATCCAATAACATATATTTTTTGAAGTATTATTTTTACTTAAAAATCCAGCACTGAGCTAACAAAGTTTCTAAAGATTTATTTAATGAAAATTGGCCAAATTAGGCCAATTTTAGTAAATTGACACTAACTTTGTTACTCGAATAATTTTTCAACTTGACAAGTGTGATTTTGAAGATCTGAGTAACCTGTCTCCTAGTTGTTGAGATAAATAACTTAAAATCTCATACAGACAAGTAGGCACTAATAATTTAAGTTAAAAAATAACATTCCCGATGTCAGAGATTGGAGAGCAAAAGTCTACTAAAAACAAACGATATCATCAACTATATACACCATCACCAGGATAAAATATTTTATTCAAGATTTTATAAAAATAAGTAATAAATGATACTCACGTATATTCGGTGAACCGATTCATCTGGACTACTCTTCTCGGGGTGGCCGACCAAACCACCGAAGCCAAGCGTCACTACCCATCCGTCCATCATCCAACGAAGCCCCACCCTCGCTCTCTCTTCCATCCTGTAAGCCATTCGTGTACGATGTTATATGTACATGGAAAAAAAAGTAGCGTGAGCAGGTCAGTCGTTTCCGCGTTATGATACCATCCCCGAGGTGAGGGACAGTTTATCGAGTCTCACGGCAGTCCAAGGAGGGGAGTGTACGATCTTAGCCGTTGTTTTCGCGATAAATTGAGCGAGCCTTGGTATTTATTTTAAAAAAAAGACGTGAGTACTTTATCTTGACTTTCCATATTCTTTTTAAAAAAGGTCCCTCAACTCTTTTTACTTTCTCAAAAGATCGTTTATCTCAGTATTAGCAATAGTAACGCATCGTTGAAAAAGCCGTACTCGCATTTTCAAAACAATCCAGTACAGTTCCATTAACAAAAAAAAACTTCCTGGAAACATTGTTTCCTCCACACTTTGTCCCTCGACCCTACAGGAAATAAAAAAAAAAAAAGAAAAAGAAAAAAAAGAAAGATTCTCGAGTTCCGCGTCTATTGTGCAAATTCTTTTCTCCCCGAACTCGATGTTTGCTCTGAAAATCGATCACAGCGTGCCGTGTGCTATTGACGTTTTATAAATATACAAGCTGTCAAGCGTCGAAAAAACACACCAAGCCGGAGACAAAAGCAGAAAATAGCCCGGACGAAAGTGTACACTCCCGTCGAAAAGGAGGAACGGAAACCATACACGCGAGCCCGAAAGCGTGTGACGCTGAATGAACAATTAACTCAACGTGTCCGGTAATGAAGGAGCTCTGAACTTCATTTATTTATTTTTTTTTTTTTTTCAATAAAATTAACGAAAGCCAATAAATTCAGTTGATTCCATCCAAATTACCAGCCCCTGAAAGGAGGCCCTAGTCATAGGTGATGATAACAACGTCACTCACCTTATCCGGAAAAATAATCGCTCTTTTCCACTCGCTCGAGCGGTACATCGGCACCGATTGCCCTCACATATCGACAACGATTGATAACACCCTCATAACTGCATGACCTGCACACAACGCGCAACCCTCGAAGCTCTCTCATGTGCACGGGGGACGCGATAAAAGCTCGTGTGGAAGTGAAGGGGGGGGGGATCGGTACTCGAGACAAGAGATATCCAGCTGTACGGAATATTAATTCGCCAATCGACGGATCGGTGGGGGGAAGTTCGAGAGATATTTAAATATCGAATCTCCCTTGCCTGCACCGCCTGCGGGCTCAGTTATTAATATACGCTCCGATTGAGCGAGTGATCGATCCATCAAACTCCTCCTTTCCTCCAGATGATATGATCGATTTCTGAATATGTGCGAAATAAAATTATCCATCGTCACCTTGATCGATTCGTTTGTTTATTTCAGTGCTCTGGTATTGAAGCGTAGGTCGTTGGGGCCAAAAGAACAATATGATACTCAACGTGAAACTTCCACTCGAAGCTCTAGGGGAATG